TTTCTTTCTTTCAAGATGTTTAAGAAATAAACTCATTTTATTTATGACTGAGGCATTTCTTCAGTTCCACATGGAAGTGATTTTTTTTAAAGACTTTTTTAGATTGTCTGTTGTACACTTTGTTTCGTATGAAAATAATAACATGAAGTTACTTAGCTAACCAATTAAAAACAAACACTCTGTATATTCCTGTCGTAAGATTTCTTGAAAAATTCGATCTGGCATTTAATTGGTTTTAAAATTTAAACAAAAGAGTTGTGGTACAAAAAAATGTTTTAAGCGATAATCTCCAGGTGTGAAACTCTTAATTCGTATTTTCATTTATATACAGGGTGAAAAAAGTTATTATTATACACCCTACATATTTGTCTAGTTTTAGATTCTTAATTTAAAAAATACATATTTATCAAATATAGGAGTTTTTTTTATCCAGTTTCCAAAATGTTTACATTCATGGGGAAAAATATATTTAAAAATTCATAGTTCCACCATTTAAACGTACCTATGAAAAAGAGCGTGATTATATTTGCAAATTTATCGAAGTGTATTCTAATAGCTTTTGTGTATTGTAACGATAAACCTCAATAAAACTTTTGTCAAAAATCTTATTAATACAGGGTGTTCCAATCAAAAAGCATGAGAAAACTGAGAATTTACAAAATAAAGGGCTTGTATAAATAGTCACAATAATCTTCAATGTCTTCTAAAGGTAAAGTAACTAAAAACTGTCTTGCAAAAGTCCAAACCACCTTTTTTAAACAGGGCAGAGCTGAGAATTTTACAATACGAGCATTTGTTTACATAATAATGCAGATCTGTTGAGAACTAATAAACACAAAAATTTATGCTGAGTAATGCAAATATGGAGTGTACCTTTCAAACGAAACACTCTGTATATTTCAAAAGGTCTGTTCCAACTCAAAATATATTCTGCCGGACTGCGTCAAGAATTTTTGTTAAAATTCGCGGAGAATGTGTAATTTTCCATGTCCAGACTTCTGAGATATCCGAAACGAGCGAAAGTATTGTAATAAGGTGCGGGGGTGACTGGCTACTTTCATGTTTTCTCGACGTTTTATAGCTTCTAGAGTTCGACAAAATTATTTCTTGTTTCCGTCAGTCTGTCGTCTGTGTCGATTTTTATTAGACAAATTATTTCCAAAATTGCTGAACCAATTGTCAAATTGTGTATACGTTTTAGGGGTATCGTGTATAAACTTTATTAGTGTCACTTAAATTTTATAAAATAACTACTATACTTGCGATTTATGAATCCACCTTGATTTTTTACTCTAGACATCCAGATTTTCGCAAAAAAATTCCCAGCCCCTGGGGGGAGGGCTTTTTTCTTAAACTATGACTCTATATATTTATCTATATTTTTTGGTAATTTATAGAACTTATCAAAATATACATAAAATTTTAGGATTTTTAAAGAAACGGGATTCGTGGAACTGTACTTCAAGTTTTTTTTTTTATTTAATATACTTTGTGTAAAAATGACGAGGTTATTTTTTGGTGCATACGAAAAAAATGAACTCATGAAAGTATTAACTTGTTTATTTATTTTTATTTAATTATTCATTCTTTTATTTGTGGACTCGAGGATCAAACATTAGAATTCAAGATCGTTGATTTCAGTACTAGTTGTAATACTAAAACCACATCTTATAGTTTTGGTTCTTAAAAAGTGAATTACAGACTTATTTTGAAAAACAGGAAATCGTTCTCTTTTTCGAAAATTTGCAGTATCTTCTTAATCTTAATTTTAATTCTGAACATAAGCTAAAGAAGTATTGTAATCAATTCCATTGGGTGACTGGTTACTTTCATATTTTCTCGACACCTAGAGTATGAAAAAATAGGTCTACTGTTTCCGACTGTCTCTCTGTTTGCCTGTATGTCCGCCCTGTGTTTCAATTTTTGTTAGATACAAACGAATCGCTGTTTTCTGGCTTTCTCGACGTTTCATGATCTCTAGAATATGAAAAAGTAGGTCACCCGTTTCCGTCTGTGTGTCGTCTGTCATCTCTGTTAGGCAGATAATTTCCAAAACTAGTAAATTGACTGTTGTCAGATTTCGTTTGTGTATTAGGAATATCGTGTAGATGGCAAAAAGGCTAACCAAAACTTATCTGATCATTCTTACCAACAATGGGATGATTTTATCTCCAAAATTTACAACATAGTAAATGTATTTAAATTTTATAAAATGAAAGACTCCTGTACCTGTGGTTTATGAATTCATGTTGAGTTTTTACCCTAGACATCCAGATTTTTGGGAAAAATGTGAAAATTGTGTAACAATATTTTACAATTTAACATTGAAATTGCAAAACCGAATGCTCTAAAAATAGTGAATCAACATTCGTCCCTTTTATGACACCATTTCAAAATTTTGCTAAATAAATCCTAACTAAAATATTCAAAACATGATGCATTAAGATTTTTTTTTATCAACTCTATTTTCCCAAAGATATGACCATGCAGTATTGTTATTATTAGTATTATATTGTACACATAGCATGCTCCTTTACCTATACTGTAACAGTCCACACGTATCACTAAAAAATAAAATATGCAAAATTAAATTTTATAATTTTCCTAAGAAGCCATATTTGTACCTGTGTACTTCAGAGGCGAAGGAAGTTACGTCGAAATAACCTTAGACTAATTTTTTGCATTAAAAAAAAAAATTATAAATATAGTTTAAAATTTATACGCTGTTTAAGTGTCTATACAAGTGTTCTATAAGTTACCGTGAAAAAAAAATAGAGAATTAGAGTTGGCTGTAATCATGTTACAGGTGGTCAATTTTGACACTGAAAGCGTAACATTACATTTATAAGATGTGGCCTTGTGGCCACTAATTAAAGTATACGACAGTACAATACCTATAGGTGTTAGATGATGACCTATTTCATATAAACTACTGAAAAAATTTCCCAATCTGATGTATATTGTTTAGAAGTACACATTTAATTTATACTAAATACAACTCAATATACAGCGTGTTTCGACTAAAAATTACATACTATACTTACTTTTTTTCAAACTTCAAATTCCATGTATCTACTTTTGGATTTATTAGTGCAGTGAAAATTTTGTGAAGACGTCATCAACATTTTTGCAGGGACACGTATATCAGCTTGGATTAAATTGACACATTCATTAATTTTTTTGAGTCACCTGTATAAGCAAATCTAAAAAATATGAATCCAATGATAAATTACAAGTAAACACTCAACATATTTTGTACACTTCGCGTTTGCAAAGTTAATACGGGGAAAATCAGTTTTATCTTAACAAATACTTGGCCCGCCCACCCACCCCCTATTTTCCCAGGGAATGTCATTTGCCGAAATAAGTATTATCTTAGCAAGTATTAGCTCCGCCCACCCACCCTTTACTTTCTTAGAGGGTACGTCATTTGCCAAAATCAATCTTATCTTACCAAATACTGGCCCCGCCCATCCACCCCCTATTTTCCCAGAGTATATGTCATTTGCAAAATATGACTTATGTTAGCAAGTACTAGAAACACCCACCCGCCCTTTATTTGCTCAGAGGGTAGTACTTGCTAGTACTTGCTAAGATAAGTCTTATTTTGGCAAATGACATATCCCTGAGAAAACAGGGGCGGGTGGGCGGGGCTAACACTTGCTCAGATAAAACTGATTTTGGTAATCACCATAACCTTCGAGAAAATAGAGGGCGGGTGGGCGGGGTTAGTACTTGCTAAGATAAGGCTGATTTTGGTAAATGCCAGACCCTCTGAGAAAATAGAGGGCGGGTGGGCGGGGCTAGTACGTGCAAAGGTAAACTTATTTTGGCAAATGACATAAACTCTGAGAAAAATATTGGGCCGGTAGGCGGGGCTACCACTTGCTAAGATAAGACTGATTTTGTTCCTACGAAACTTCTAAACACTTGTTAAATTTAAAAGGTGCTATAATGCATATTTCCATTATAACGAGTTAAATTCCGGTTTTGCAGTTCCTGATTAAATCAATAAAATAAATTCACGCATTCATCAATTTTTTTGAGTCACCAGTTTAATCAAATTTAAAACATATGAATGCAGTGATCAATCACAAGTATAGACTGATCATATTTTGCACATTTCGGACAGAATTTATCCGGAAAAATTTTGAGATGACGTTATCAATTTTTTGGAGGAAAATTTTGATTAAAATTTTAATTTAAAACATCTAAAAGATTCCAAAGCATTCAGTTTTGGGTTCTTTGACTAAAGTTGTAAAACATTATTAGTATGTATTTAAAGTGATTTTAGCATACTTCCGGAGATTAGGTATCTGTTTAATAAAAAGCAGACGGACAGACGGACAGACAGACAGACGGAAACGGGAGACCTATTTCTTCGTACTCTAGGGGTCATGAAAGATCGAAAAAATGTTAAAGTAGACAGTCGGCGGATGGACTGGATTACAATACTTTCTTCGCTTACGCTCGGGAAGTAAAAAGAGTTTCAATTCTTGAATCTGAAGAATTCTATAGAATGTTCCATTAAAAAATACGACTTTGACGTCTAAAATAAAAATTAAGCTATTTAGACAGAACTTCCCTCATCCCTGAAGTACAGTCCAGCAGCATTTTCGAACTATTTTAAAGTTAAATTTTGCGAAATTCATTTTGTTTTTTATTATATATTAATGTTATTATAATCAAATAGAGATATGTGTGGACTGTTAAAATACATGGTAAACAAGTAGTAAATGAGATCCGCAGTACATTTGGGGGAGAGGGCGCACAGGTAAATATTAAATATATTTAAATCATATGATCAACAGGAAAAATATATTTTGATCTTTTTCAGAACGCTTTCGAAAATAACTAAATTTTTTAAATTTCTGAAAGACATTTTTTTGTTGATTTCGATTTGTCAAAATTTATTTTGAAATCGAAAATTTCGAAAATCTTGGTTTTCGAATCAGTTCGTCGATATTTCTACCCTAAATGTGAATTTTTAGATAACTTACCACAAGGTCTTGTTCCGAGCTCTTGAGGGAGATTTTTGATCGGTATCTGAAAATGAAGCTGGGTTGAAAATGGAGTAGCCAAAAATTATTATATTATTGAATATTATTTTGGATAAGTAGCTGTCATTACGATAATTTTTGTAGTATTATCGTTATGCTTTATTACTAGTTTGTTGTGGTAAAGAATGTGTTGTTTAGTTGTTAAACGTAGCAAAAGAACCAATTTTAAAATCGTTATAACTCAACCAAAATGTGAGACGTTGATTGTTATGAGGGTAGAGGAAAGTTACCATTTTCCAGACACCCGGTATAGGCAGGCACAACATTACTGTATTCTCATATTTTCAAAAATATGGAGTACTGTTATTCTGGTATAAATTATTATGATGTAATTTAATTTTTTTTGCGAAAATGTGGATCCTTTTGGTAAAAATTAAGGCGGATGCATGAACCACAAGTGAGTATATTATTTCATAAAATATAATAGGAGTTACTAGGGAAAAAAATATTTACGTCGTTTAATTGTTGATGGGGATGATACATAGACGGAAACGGGAAACCGATCTTTTCGTCCTCTATGGGTCACGAAAACATGAAAGTAGTCATACACCGGGTGAACTCTATTACCGACTAGAGTTTTGTCCTAACAAAGATTAGTTGTCATGTGTTTAATAATAATTAATAATAATAAAAGACAAAAGCCTACATCAATTTTTTAAATTCTTTTGCCAAAGACTTCTAAACATATTCATTCACTAAATTCAAATCGTAGACGTAAAAATGCATATTTAGTAAAAGCGTGCATGTCTTGTAAGAATAATTACATCACGTAAATTAGCAATTAGTCTTGTTAAAATATGATTGATAACAGGTTGCCAAAACTGAATTACAATATCAGTAAACCATGTAAGCTTGTCTAATTTGTTCTTTTTCTGTATAATAGATACATTTTTCATTAGTTTTTTTACACACTTGCCCAGTGAAAGACATTCTTTACCGGATTAACTGTCTAGCGATTATGCAAACTTATCCGGAAAAAAACCATTGCGCGTTAAATAAGCTATTTATTATTTAAATTACAAAGCCGCCTAAAAAAATTTTCGTATGCTAATATCTGATAAATTAGTTCAGCGTCCGCATATGTCAAAATATCCATAAATTAATAAGAGATTTAAGGCGGCTGAAGGTGTCACTCCACTTCTCGGCAGTTTTGGTCACTTTTGACTAAATTTCGTCAATATTTAGTACTCCGAAAGCAAAAAGTCCACAGTGAAAGCTTCAACAGATCATAAACATAACGAACTCTATTAAGTGCTCGTTATACAACCTCGCAAAACCTAATCGATATAATTGCCCATTTATTGTTTAATATATTTTTTAGCCGCCTTGACGTCATAACTCAATTACCGCTGAAGCATAACTCAAAAAACGCGCCAATCTCATCCCGCAAAACGCTGCGATTATTACGAGAAATTTGCTGTAATTTAGCGGCGGACGAAACCGCTGAAAAAACGCTGAAAAATTTCAGCTATTCGCTTTACGTTGCCGCTGTGTATGTTACATCGTTAATTACCCTCTAAATGCACATGGTTGCACAAGCATGCAAACAACAGCCAGCGATGACGGTTCGGAACGACGCTTTTGCCGCAAATATCGCTAATGTAATCGCAAGCTGGCGTAGAAGTCGCTAAATATTGCTCAGGTGTAGGAAGTCAGCGCGGGAAAATCGCGCAAAAAGGAGTCAGACGTTGTAAATTGTGCAGGATAACTGTGAGGTAATTTGACGGGAAAAACGCACGTGTAAAATATAGCAGGTATTCACATAAAGAGCGGTTCGTCGATGTTTATTTCGCCGGAAATGAAGGCAACTTGGACTGCGGGAAGAATTCGAGATGCGAGATGGGGATATTTCGCAGACGTAAGCGCTGTGCTGGTAAATTATGGGCGCAGGATGCGCAACTGTGGTTGCCATTTATTCGGCTTAATTTCATTTTTAATGAGGTTATACAGTGATAAAACAGTATATCGTGAATTTTTCTTATTCAGGCTTTGTATTTAGTGGTTAAATATTTCCCTGGTGTGTTTAAAGTTCGTACCACACTACTTGTCACTTAAGGTGGATCGTGTTTGTAATTTTTTCAAAATAAGTGCGTACATACACTTAAGATTGTGAATGTTATATAGATGAAAAACTTCTTCCTTGTGAAAATACCGGATTCAAAAAACCAACAATTGTTTACAATTGTTAACGATGACAATGAAAATTTCAGTTGCGTAGATTTATTGAAAAAATACATTAATCTTCGATAAAAAAACTGTGCAATTACAAGATTTTTTCTGCGATATCAAAATGGGAAATGTGTAAACCAACGTGTTGGTAAGAACATTTTTACAAGAATTGCTTCGGAGATAGCAAAATTTTTGAAACTGGAAAATGCAGATAAATATACAGGACACTGATTTCGTAGAACCTCAGCTACTCTAAATCTAAAAAAAGATAGCGACCGTGACGGGGCAGCTCAAAAGTAACTCGAACGCTACAAAAATGTGCAAAAAGTGTGGCAATATTCCAACGCAAGGCCCAAAATGTGTACAGTGCAATGCAGTTTTTCATCCAGGGTGCATTAAATATCTTAAAGATGTTGTGGAAATTGCTCCTGGTGAGGTTATGTGCTGTGGTTCCAAGGTGACTCCGACAGCAACTTTTTCTTGGGCGATGCTGTTGGTCGTTTTCTTCTCTAGCAATATCGGGAAAAACGCACGTGTCAGAATTCTCAATTGCAGAACTAAAGGTAGTTCTGCAATTGAGAATTCTGACACCGCAAAGGTAGAAAATAAGTATCTAAAAAAACTGCTGAAGGAGAAAGACTTGCACATAAAAAGTTTATGTGCCGACTTGGACATACTCCACAAGCAAATAACCTTGCTAAATAACATCATAATTAAGCAGGAGGAAGGAATTTCCAATAATCATGATCCAGAAACGACATCACAAGAAATTAATGAAATTGTCAAAAACAGTAAGCTGCTCCCGCTCAAAAACACCAACGATAAACAACAGAAAAAAACGCAAGACTCGCCATCTAATCAAGCCACAACACCAAATCAAGGAGATAAAGATAAGAAAGTAAAGAAGACACTTCGTAGTTATAGCGAACTCCAGGAGCCAGTTCAGGACGATAACGAAAACCTGGACAATAATAAGACACTACAGAATGAAGACGATAACTGGAATAAAGTCAAAAGCAAAAAAAGACATCGCAGAGAATCCAACAAACCGATAATTGGATGCTCGGTGGATAATAGTACCCTCAAAGCCGTCCCACGAAGAAGCTTCATCCACGTGTATCGACTAAATCTCCTTCAACGACTACAAAGGATATCGAAGATCACCTCTGCATGTCAAATATATGCATTTTCGGAGTTGTAAAGCTGCAGTCAAGATATCCGGACCTATATTCAAGCTTCAAAGTGACCATTGATCATAAAGACCAAGACGTAGCTATGAAACCTGAAACCTGGCCTCCTGGCAGCTGTATCAATCGTTTTTTTCATCGGATACTAAAGAAGACCGCGTTGCCTTAGAGGTAGAAGGCTATTTGAACATTCTGTCAATCAACATCCAATCACTGAGGGCTAAACTAGCAAAATTTGAGGCAGCAGTAGCAGACGATGACTTCTCCCTCCTTACCCTTTGTGAACATTGGTTGATGGCAGTAGAAGCTGACCAAATACGTGTCAATAATTTTGTAACTGAGTCTTATTTTTCCAGAAACTCAACGAAAAAGGGGGCACAATGATTATGAGGAACGCTGAGGTTTCTTGCACTCGTCTCCAAAATCTCGAACAACTCTCAATTGAGAAACATGGTGAGATATCTGGAATTTATATGAATAACCTAGAAATTTATGTGATAAATGTCTATAGATCACCCTCTGGAGATCTGAACAAATTTTTGAGTAGGTACTTTAGAAAAAATTTTTGGTATAATTAACACATTAAAGAACAACGTAATATTGACTGGTGACTTTAATGTAAAATTTGACAAAGAAGACCTCTTAAAAGACTGCTTATTAGATTTTATGAGAACTTATGGGCTTTTTCACTTAGTCGAATTTCCAACTACAACTGTCTGGATCACGTTTTTACAAATCTAGATCACGCACTTTTTCAAATTAGTCCATGGAATTTACACCTATCAGATCATAGAGGCATCAAAATTAAAGTGTTAATTTCGTCTACTAAAAACAAACAAAAAACACAGCTTATTAAACATAGGCCAATTACTGCTCTTGGTAAATTCAAATTGTACGAGTCGGTGTCCAATATCAACTGGGACTTCATTAAGCTATGCAGTAATAATTCAGTTGACGACTTGTTCACAAAATTTGTAAATCTAATAGAAGGTCATGTAGGGCAAGCCTTCCCTCTAAAAGAAGTCAAGCGTCAACCTAACAACAACAAAACTGTAAAGTGGTTTGATAGTGAATTAATTCAAATGCGGGAAACATTACAACATTTATGTGATATAAATAATCTAATTGGGAGTGAATAAACCAAGTCAGCAAAAAACTCGTTTAGGAAAGTATATCGTGACAAAATAAATGAAAAGAAAATGCTTTGTAATGAAAAATTCATCTCTACTGCAAGTAATAAAGTCAAGGCCATGTGGAAAATTATCAACGAAACTCGCAATAAAAGTGTTAATAGTCAAAAATTAAGCTGTGATATGACCTGTGACGATTTTAATAACTATTTTATAAATGAAATTTCAAAATTGGGAACGCAAAGCAATAATGACTGTGATGTTGAACTCTGTGATATAGCAAGTAAGTCTACTCACTCCTTGATCAATAGCCCTAGTTTCAATTTTAAAGAAGTGTCAAACATAAAAGTGAGAGAAGCTATAGATAACCTGAAAAATAGTAATTCTTCTGATATCTTTAATCTTAATGTGAAAATTGTCAAAAGTATAAAGGACTTGCTGATACCTCCACTTGCAAAACTTATTAACTTTTGCATAAAATATTGCGTCTTTCCCAAATG